AAGAGTGCCTTTTTTGTGTTTTACTTACTGTACAAAGACTTTTTTTTATACTGTATCATAGCAAATTATGGCTAACAGTAAGAAGAATGGGAATCCTAGAACATTTAATTGTTTCATGTGCAACCTATAACCTAGACCAAGAAGTTGTGAGAACAGAGTAAGGGATCACTGTTGCTATGTGCTGTTGAGTCACCTGCGACCCTATGCACAGCAGTTCTCAATCCTGTCCTGTCCTGAGCTAGTCTTACTAATTCCGACACACCAACCCCTATTGCTGCAGTGACTATATCAGTCCATCTCATCTGTGGTCTTCCTTTCCTGCACTGTCCCTCCACATAGTCTAAAATTAAGAAAGGTGTGCATCAGAGTTGTATCCTTTCACTATACCTATTCAACCTGTATGCTGAGCAGAATTTTCAAGAAACTAGACTCTGTGAAAGAGGAATGTGTCATCAGGATTGGAGGAAGGTTCATCAGTAAACTTCATAATGCTGATAACATAACCTCCCTTGTTGAAAGTGAGGAGGACTTGTAAAACTTGATGCAGAAGATCAAATGCTGCAGCATTCAATATGAATTGCATCTCAACATCAAGAAACCACAAGCACTCACCACTGGACTGATAGGTGACATAATAGGTGGAGAAAAGATTGAAACTATCAACAACTTCATCTTACATGGATCCACAATCAGTACACTTGGTACCAGCAGTCAGAAGCTCAGGAGACATACTGCATTGGAAAAGTCTGCAGTCAGGGACCTCTTCAAAGTATTGAGGAACAGCAGTGATACTAGTTTGAAGATTAAGGTGCACCTGATTCATACCATGGTCTTTTCAAGTCACTTGCTCTGCTGGTGAGAACTGGACAATGAAAATGAGAGAAGAAAAATTGATACCTTTGAACCGTGGTTTTGGAGAAGAGTGCTGAATATCCCATGGACTACCAAAAGAACAGCTATGTCTTGGAGATGCTACAGCCGGAGTACTTCTGGAGGCAAGGGTGGCAAAGCTTCGTCTTACATACTTTGGGCATGTTGATAGAAAAGGCTGTTCTCAGGAGAAGAATATTGTGCTTGGAAAGGTAGAGGGACTGTGAAAGAGAGGAAGACCTTCAACCAGATGGACTCAGAGAGACTGCCACAGTGGGCTCAAGTGTATCAGAGATTGTTGAAGATGGCACAGGATATGACAAGATTCATATCTATTGCTCATACAGTTACTATGAGTTGTACTTAGGAGCACCTAACAACAACAGTGTTCATTATATATGTTGGATGTTACGTGATTTGGACACTGTGGGAACACCATACTAAAAACTTTTGGGAGAAAGTGTCGCCAGGCAGCCTGGACTTAGCAGGATTTTCCTTACCAGTGAGTTGGCATAAAATACATTGCCAGTCTCTTGTCTTCTAGTCACCATGACTCCTTCTGACATCCACCTGAAAGAGCTCGAGAAACACACATAAAGCCAGGCTTTTGAGTTGATCCTAAGCCCACTGGCAAAAGAACTTGTTTCAGAATTACCCTTTTCCCCTCCAAAGAAGAAAGATTTTTCTCTGGAGGAAATTCAGAAGAAGTTAGAAGCTGTAGAGACTCAAGCCTCATGAAGAAGGGATCTTGAAGCAGCTTGCTGAGAAATCAGAGTATGAGAAAGAAGTGCTTCAGAAAGCAATAGAAGAAAACAACTTCAGTAAAATGTCAAAAGAAAACCTGACACAAAAAGTGTATACCAACAAAGAATTGAGAGGCACAAAGGTTGCTAAACTATAGTTTATGAGAAAAGGGCAAGCACATTGAAGAAGCATGGAAGAAAAAGAATTGAAAGAGCCTGGTGATTAGATCAAAACCTACCAATTTGTTCTGAGAACTGACTTTCTCCCCTTCCCCTTCCTTAATATCCAAAGATGGTGCTGGCCAGTGTCTTTCCCTCCCCCCTTTGACAAATATTCTAGAAGTTGATATAGAACTGTATAAGTAGACCCACACTATAAGATGCTGGTTTAGGGACTAAAGGGGAGAAACTGAAAAAATTGGGAAGGATGTGCATCAAGGATGTGTCCTATCTCCATATCTTTTCAACCTATATGTGAAACAGATTATCCAGGAGGCTGGGCTCTATGAGGAGAAATGTGGCATCACAATCAGAGGTAGACTCATCAACAATCTGCATTATGCAAATGATGCATAACCTGCTTGCTGAAATGAGGAGGACCTGAAACGCTTTCTGCAGAAGGTCAGGGACTACATCCGTCAATATGGATTGAAGCTCAACATCAAGAAAACAAAACTTCTCACCACTGGGTAGATTGGCCACATCATGATAGATGGTGAAGAGATTGAGATTGTTGACAGCTTCAGTTTGCTTGGCTTTACAATCAACACTCTGGGTACCAGCAGCCAAGAAATTAAAAGACTAATTGCATTGGGAAAGTCTGCTGTCCGAGACCTCACCAGAGTACTGAAGAGCATTGATGTCAGTTTGGAGACCAAGGTGTGCCTGATACAGGCCATGGTCTTTGTATTAACTTGCTATGCATCAGAGAGCTAGCTGGACAATGACTAGGAATGTTAGAAGGAGAGTTGATGCCTTTGAGCTGTGGTGCTGGAAAAGGGTATTGCATATAACGTGGACTACTAGGAGAGCAAACAAGTTTGTCCTGGACAGGGTGAAGCCAGGCAGCTCCTTGGAGGCAAGGATTCCGAAGCTTCATCTGACATACTTTGGACATGTTGCAAGCTGGAATCAGTGCTTAGAGAGGGATGTCATGCTTGGGAGGGTAGAGGGACAGTGCAGGAGAGAAAGACCGTCGATGAGATGGATTGATTCAGTGACTGGGATAATGGGGATAGGTGTGTCGGAGACAATATGATTGGCAAGGGTTAGAGCAGGATTTAGGGCTGTTGTACATGGGGTCACTATGAGTCACAGATGACTCGATGACACATAACAACAACAATCATATATCTTGATAAACAGAGACACTTCATAGCAATTAATATTGTGATAATTGTATGTGTGTTTTTCTGAGAGAAAACTACTGGTAAACTAAGATTATTCTTGAGTGAAAGGGAAATCTGATTTTTATTTTAACCGCTGTTTTACTAATATTTGCTTTGCAGCTGTGGACTTCTTCAATCAGATCAACATGCTCTATGGAACCATTACAGATTTCTGTACAGAAGAAAGCTGTCCAGTGATGTCAGCAGGCCCAAAGTAAGACATATTTATGACCTGTTTCTCATCTTTTTTCTTTCATCATTACTAGATAATAAGAAAGTTTATTATAATGTAAAGAAGTTTCTTAACAGCTTCTCAAGTATTTCACCAATTTCAGTATATCCAGGCCAGATTTCTTAGCTTAAGCATTATGACCTTCCCTATATTTTACCCTTTTCCTGATTACTTATGGTTATATGTTCTGATACATATATATAAACTTTATTTTAGAGCATATTCTTCCTCCAATGTATCCAAACCTGACTATTGAGGATATCTTGCTCTTTTGTTTATTATCTTACAGTGTTCTTAAAATTTGCTTATTTTTTCCCTGTTAGTTATGTTTCTTCTCTGTCACTTTATTCATTATCCATCATTGATTTTTTATCTCCACAGCCAAATACCTTTGCGTAGTCAGTAAAAACACAACCCTAAGTACCTTTTTGGTATTCCCTGCTTTCAGCTAAGAGCCATATGACATCAACAATAATATCCATTGTTCTAGAGCTTTTCCTGAATCCAGCTTTGATTTTTGGCAGTTCTCTTTCAGTGTACTGTCTCGTCATTTTAAAATAATCTTCAGTAAGATTTTTGTTGCATATAGTATTAACGATTTTCTTTGATAATTTCCATGTTCTGTTGGATTACCTTATTTTTGGGAATGAAAACAAATATCTTCTAGTCAGTAGCTGTCTTCCAGATATCATGGCATACACTGATGAACACACCCAAGGCTGTATCTTTTTGCTGAAATAACTTAGTTGGTATTTATCATTTCCTGGACTCTCCTTTTTATCATGTGCCTTCTGTGAAATTTGGACTTCCTCCAGTACCATTGATTCTTGATCTTATATTACTTCCTTAAATGGCTCAGCATCTTTCTGAGTACAGTGACTCTGTATTCCTTCCATCTTCTTTTAATGCTTCATGTATCATTCAATAATTTGTCCTGAGAATCCTTCAGTATTGCAACTTGAAGCTTATCTTTGTTCTTCAGTTCTTTTCAGCTTGAAAATGTGCAGCGTATTATTCTCGTTTGGTTTTCTAACTTCAGATCTTTGCATACTTCATTATAATACTTTGTCTTCTCAGACAGCCCTTTGAAATCTTTGTTCAGCTTTCTTATTTCATCATTTCTGCCTTTTCCATTAGCCTTTCTGCCATTAAGAGCATGTTTCAGAGTGCCTTCTGATATCTCTTGGTTTTTTCCTTCTTTTTAATGGTCTTTGATTTCCTCATGGATAATGTCCTTGAAGTTAGCCCACAACTGATCTGAACATTAGTGTTCATTGCATCAGATCAGTTCTTCTCATGGTTTTTAAATTCAAGTGAGATAAATTCAAGATTGTACTTTGGCTCTTGTGGGCTTGCTTTCATTTTCCTCAGCATAACTTAAACTTGCATCTGAGTAACTGATGGTCTGTTTTGTAGTTGGAGCCTAATTATTCTATTTATTTATTTTATAACAATATTTTCTATTATATAATTGTATATGGTGGGAGAAGGATGGTCAATCTCTTCCTGTTTGATTAACTGCCTCTGAAAACCTGCCAGAGGTTTAGCTGTGGGTTGGGTGATTCCATGGTACTCAGCAACAACAATGCCATTATTTACAGCATTCTGTAAAAACCTCCCTGCACTCTCCCTTTCCCTACCTCTTTCCCATCCATTTGCTATTCTCTGCTCCCTCTCTCACCACTCTTGGACTTGTTTTAACCTCTGGTATTTTCTCTACCACCTTGTTCACAGACATAATCAACTTGATTCTTGTGTATTCTGCTAGGTGAGTCCATACATATAGCCACCATTTATGTTTTTTTAAAAGATTCTTGCAATGAATAAAATGCTTGGTTGTACACAATTCTGTCATTCAATCTGTATACTGATCAAATAATTCAAGAAGCTAGACTATATAAAGAAGAATGTGGTATCAGGATTGGAGAAAGCTTCATCAACAGCCTGCATTGTGCAGATGACACGACCTTGCGTGCAAAAACTGAAGAAGACTTGAAGCTTTATGAAGAAAAGCAAAGAATTAGCCTTCCATATGAAGTACACTTAAACTTTAATAAAATGCAAATTCTCATCAGTGGACCAATAGGCAACATCATAATGTGGAGAAAAGATTGACATTATCAAGGATTTCATTTTACTTGGAGCCATAATCACCACCCATGATAGCTGCTGTTGAAAAATCAAAAGTCATGCCTCTTTGGACACATCCACTGTCAAGAACCCCTTTTTTGTTGTTGTTGTTGTTTGGCAGACATCAAAGTGGCCCAGCATATTAGTGTTTTTAATATGCCAAAGAGGGGCCTTGGAAGGTGGTTCCTGCTTGCCACGCAGCTGGAGTCGTGTTGGGTACCCTGGGGTTGATTTCCGACCTATTTGCAAGCCGGAGTGACGGAGTAGAACAGCCCCAGAGGGCTTGCCAAGCTGCCGTCTTGAGCAAGCACGTTGCAAGGTCTTTCTTCAGTGAAAGTGCTGGTGGCTTCCAGTGGCCAAGCTCTCCTCAGCAGCAAACACTTAACTGTTGGGCCACTGAAACTCTAAAATGTCAGACCCGTTTCCCTGTGTCCATTAGGACTCAGGGAAACTCTCCATTGGACTTTGTTGTTGTTGTTGTTGTTGTTGTTGTGTGCTATCGAGTCAGAACCTACCCATGGTTGACCGTGCAGTGCATTTTCAGATGCAGTTAATCGCCTGGGAGGAGATTATCCATCTTTCTCCCGAGGAACAGCTGGTGGATTGAACCATGTGCCTTTGGGATTGCGGTGCACCTTCTTCCCAGAACAAGGCCACCACAGCTCCTTGTCGGATTATGGATAGATAGTGCCCAGCTGTTAACACCAACTGCATGCATTTGGGACCACAGAACACCATGGTTAGGAGAGACCCAGCTGCTCACATCACTGGTATATTTTCCTCTGTTGTCCTCTGTCTGTGGGAGGGTCATCTGTGCACCCAGCTTGCACACTGCAGATCAGAGCGGTGACATCCAACTCCTGGTCCCTTTCCACCATGAGAAGAGTTGCCAGAAGCCAACCTTAGTGACCTCGCTGCCAGAATTTTTTCCCCTCCTTCCAAACCTTTGAGCAAATGCACCCTTTCGAGAACCTTCTTTTCTGTCCCGGAGAAGGAGGGAAAGGCTCAAGAACCTCTTTAAAGGGTTAAAGAGCAAGGGTTTCAGTATAAAAATTTAAGATATTCCTTACACAAGCCTTGGTATTTCCCTTGCCTCTCAGTTGCTTCATATTCACCTGTAATTTAGACAGTGAATAAAACAGAACAGGAATCAGTGCCTCTGAATCATGGTATTGGAGAAGAATATTGAATATATGATAGAATGCCAGAAGAATAAACTGCTCTGTCTTGGAGGAAGTGAAACCAAGGTGCTCCTTAGAGGCAGGGATGGTGAAACCACTCCATTTACTTGAGGCACACTGTCAAGTGGCACCATTCTTTGAAGAAAGGTGCGTTAGGGGATAAAAGGAAGACCATCAGTGAGATAGTTTGACAGAGTGACTACAGCAGTAGGATTGAGCATTGTGGCGATTGTGAAGACAATGCATGATAGGACAAGATTCATTCTATAGTTCATAGGCAGTTGTGAGTTGTAGTTGACTCAACAGCATCTAATAACATCCTCCTGTCATCTTTTGTTAATATTTTTAAAATCTTACTTATTTTGGGAAACAACAGAAAGAATTAATAAGACAAGAAGTTAGTTGTTTGGAAGGGTAGATAAAATAGAAAAGCCCCTGGCAAATCTAACAAAGGAAAAGAAACAGAAGGTGTACATAACTTGAATAAGGAATGAAATGGATGATGTCATAGCAGAACCAATGGATATGAAAAGGATAACAGTAATAGGATACTTTAAAAAAGTATATTCCAATAAATTTGAAAATTTTAGAAGAAATGAACAAATTTTTAAAAACTTTCTAGCTATATATACTTGTATTGAAGAGTGTAGTTTTGGAGCTTCTTCAGTAAGTGTCATCTGCATAATATAAGTTGTTGATGAATTTTCCTCAAATCCTGATAATACATTCTTCTTTATATAGTCCAGCTTCTCAAATTATTTGCTCAGTATACACATTGAATGGCTATGGAGAAAGAAAACAGCCCTTACCTACAAACACCCTTTCCTGATTTTAAACCATGCAGTATGCCCTTACTGTTTAAACAACTGCTTCTTCGTTTCCCATTCTTCTCAGTGTTATCCATAATTGCTTAGGATCCACACAGTCAAATGTTTTTTGATGGTCAATAAATACAAGTAAATATCTTTCTGTTACTCTATACTTTCAGCCAAGATCCATCTTACATCAGCAGTGATACCTTTGGTACCATGACCGCTTCTGAATTCAGCTTGATTTTCTTGCAGTTCCCTGTGTATATAATGTTCCAGCCATTTTAAAATAGTCATCAGCAAGATTTTACTTGTATGTGATATGAATGATGTTTGATTAATTTCAACAGTCTAATGTATCACCCTTCATGGCAATGGAAACAAATAGATCTCTCTGGCCAGTTGGCCAGGTAGCTAGCTGTCTTCCGTACTTATTGGCAGAGAGTGGTGAGTCTAGAGTTGCATATGTTTCCTAAAACACCTCGGATGGGCAGTTTCCCTTGGTCTGTCTCTCTCCAGACTAAGGAATCCCTCCTGGGAGCCTCCTTAATAAACCTGCTCTAGCTTTAAAAAAAAAAAAAAGACCACCTCAAATGGTATTATTTCATTAATTCCTGGGGGGCCTTTTTTGTCAATGCCTTGAGGGAAGCTTGGACTTCTGTCTTTAGCACTGTTAGTTCTTTATCACATGCTGCTTCCTGGAATGGTCCAGTGTCACCTAATTCGTTTTGTTATTGTAACTCCTTCTATTTTCTTTCAGTGCTTCTTGCATCATTTAAGATTTTACCCATAGAGTCTTCCAGTGTTGGAATTTGAGGTGTGAATTTGTTCTTCAGTTTTTTTCATTGAAGAAATGGCAAGG